ATTCCAACAATGTCATTAAGATCTAAAGGAAAGATTCCTGCCTAATAGTCCCCCAATACAGGGCTCAGATCCCAGAGATCCTTTAGGACATAAAGTGAAGGTATTATGGAGCCAGCCCACAATCCCTTAACACCATGACCTCATTCACATGGCAGTGTTGGACAGCAAGGAGACAAAATAATCACAGTCACAAGGGTTTAAGATTGACCCTCTATGGACAAGTCCAGCCAGTGAGGGGCTGTTCTCGTCCCCTGGATAGATAATAAACTGAAGGAAAAGGGAGGAGAGGGGAATCTGGTGGAAATTTCATTGTACCCCATAGTTTGAATGAAAGGTCTTCCAATGCACTCCAAAAATTCCCTATTTTGCTGTAAATCTTTATTTCTTTTACCTCACGCAAAGAACTGGTAGAAGACAAACCATTTCACAACTTAAGTAAAGAAAAGTCTCTCACAGCTGAGCTATTTACAACTATTAACAGACCTTGCCCCGCTGGAGATGCAGCAGCTGTAGCTGGAAGGAGCAGAGGAGTGAAGTATCTCTTCCATTTCAGGTGGAAAGCAAAAAGCAAAGAGGAGCCTGAGGAGACCCTTTTACAATGGAGAAAGAAGCAAGGTTTTAAGGCTCACACCAAACTGTGCTCAAGGCCCAAAATAAAGGTCTTGGTCTGCAGAGCTCACAGGAATAACAGCAGAAAGTGCAATAAATGAAGCCTTGAGAGCCCCAGTTGAAGCCTTTTCCATCCACACACTGTCTTGGTCAGAAGATTCCTGAGATGTTCCCGTAACCAAGGGGGAGCCATACTGATGTCATCATATGGGGGGACAGTCAATAAGTATTTTTACACTTAGATAGAATGAAATTATCAATTTAGAAGTTTATAAGGTTCTTGAGCCTTCAGCCAAAGAAGACGAAAAATATATCCTGACTCATTTTAGCAATAGCCCACAGATAAAACTTTCATGAATGGCAGGTCTAAATTTCAGGAGTGATTCAGTCAGATCAGGCTTCTAAATCATCTTAGGTGCATCTGAAATTTGTGCTTGAGCTGAAGCCAACCTAAGGAAAGAACGTACAACCAGGGTTTTCTTAAACAAGCACCAAGTAGTGTAACTAGGCTAGAAAATAACTGAGATGTGAATATTGCTTGTTGAAAAATTAGCAGGGACAGCTATTGCAGGATTTCCTACAACTTTAAGCAATTGTCAGAAGCAAAGGAATGAGGCTATTTTAAAATCAGCTGCTGTTTATAATGTTCCCTTTCAGATTTCCACTTCTAAATCTGAGCCCAAACTGCAGCAGGGACCCTCTGCTGACACGAGAAAATACTTGAGTCAGTGTTTTCCTCCTCAATCTTTCAGCTGACCTAAGCAGCTCCTAACACTTTCCAGGCTCAGATGACTCAGCACTACAGTTAGATAACATTTTTTTCATTCCTTCCTGAAGTTCAAATAACACATAAACAGTCTTTTACTCCTTTCAAGCTCAGACTTCAGCAGAGATCTTTCAGCCCCCTGGTTCTCTGAAGCACCAACAGTTCAGCTTTACTAAGGCTCAGAGGAGAATGAGTCAGACATTGCCATCCAAAGAAAGCGATGTCCTGCTGTGTCTGTCGTTATATAGGAAGACTCTGACAGAGAATTCAGGCTGCCATGCCTTGTTATCCAACTGTATTCCTAACCAAAGTTGAGTTTTCCCTTTTCTGACCCCTCCTGGAAGTCTACCAGCTGCAGCAGGCAGTCCAGAGCTGCTTCACTGGGTACCAGACCCATTGATTGTTTCCATTAACCCTGGAAGCACAGCTTCTAGGGGCTCACTCAAAACCTCATTTTCTCAAAACAGAGTTATCAGAATTAGGGGGACACTAAACCTGCTGAGATAAAGCCAAAACGGACATTCTCAATTTTCTAAGTTGCCATACATGTCCAAATGAAGGAAAAAGTTCTGCCAGAGTTTTGGCAGCTGTCCAATATTCTGGGCCTGATCAACACCCACAGAGATTCTTTCAGAGATTCAAAAGGGAGTTACTGAAATGTATACAAAGCACATTTATATAAACAATTTCAACAGTCCCACATACACCTAATTTGTGCAAAGGTGAAAATCATCCACTGAACACCTGCAGCACCACCTTATTCAGAAGTGTATTACCGACATCATGAAATCCCAAATCAATCCAAGTGGGATATTTTCCCTATCAATAATAGCAATAATGGCTTTTTCTTGGAATATCCAATCTTCCCATTTCATGAGCAGCACCCTTCTGCTTCAGAGACGGGGAAATCAAGTCACAAGAAATGTACTGGCTAAGTAAAAGTACCCAGTACTCCACAGCTAAAGGCTGAATTAGAACCTGAATATTTGAAGTTACCACCCAGATCCTCAGTAACCAGCCTGCCCAGAGAGCTGACAGAGCTCCACAGCCCCTGCCAGTCACAACCACATCTCCAGTGGAGAAGTTCAAACCCCAGCAGCCAATAGCTGTGTGTACCTTCTGCAGGCACTTTCTGAGGGCTGGGGCTTCTGCTCAGGGCTGGCTATTTTTGGCTGGTATTCACAGCTCCAATTGAGCAGCCTCTGGCGAGTGCACCTGGCAACAGTGGCTCAGAACAAGGCTGACACAGACACACCACACAAACAGGAAGAAATGGAGAGAGAGCCTGGGTGTTATTGATATAAGATTGTATTTTTACTAGGCTAATAAATACAGTGTCTGCTCATTCCTGTAGGTGTGTGGAAATCTCATTTCACAATGTCACATTCCTGAAGAGCACAGCTGGCATAATGCAGATAATGTACTTTAAATACAACACTCATTACCTTCTCATTTTATAAATTGGACTGCAGCAGACTTAAGATAGGGAAAAGGTAATCCAGAAAGCTGCTGTCTTCACTTCTGATGCCAGGTTAGCCACCATCACTCCTATCAAGCCAGCCTAATTGCTTTGTTTTTGTGGGCTCTTAGGGAATAACATTATTACAAGTTTGGAAAAAATAACAACATTGACTGTGCTGACTTTTGATCAATCACCACCTAGCCAGGAACGTCAGACCTATTAAGTGTCCCTTGTTTGCCAAAAATTAATGAACCAAAAATAAGTACCAGAGGTTGGAACCAGCTCTGTCTCAATGCCACAGTCACACTGGAAAATGAGGAAAGGCAAAAATGAGTGAAAGAAGAAAGCAAAGGTTAGTAATAATTGCAGCATGATTTTTTTTCTTCATTATTACATATGAGCAACCACTAGAACCCATGGTAGGCAAAGTGAAGACAGGTCATTTTAGATTTTATCAATCAAAGTTTCAAGCAGATTCAAAATAAAGAATGAACAATAAATACTCTTCTTGTCCATCAGTTCATATACACATGCAGTTGAACAGAAAAACAGTCAGCCAAATGAACCAGCCTTCAATAAAAGAGAGTTCCAAACCCAAACTTATGAAACAGCATGAATTAACTCATAGTTTTCCTTCGAGCCTTTCATTTTGTACATCCTGGTGAATTTTCATGAGACTGTCCCAAAGTCTTTGATAAACTATTTCATGATGAAAATATATTAAACATGCCTTTTTTTTTTAATTAAGTTTGAAACAAACAGTCTAATGTCTAAAAATATAACCAAGAATCTTTAAAGTAATCCAAAGAAGCATGGCTTTTTAAATTCTGCAGATTTTATCAAATTTCAATAGGAACATACACCATTTTTATTTTATTTAGTACTATTGCAGCCTCTTTTCTTTTTCCCCCCCAAGATCCTTTGGCAACAATAAGCTTATTTGTTTTCCTTTTATAAAATGGTCAGATTCTCTCAAGACAATTAAAAGGAACCATGCTGTTTGAAGTAACACTGCCATTATCCTGCCAATGAGCCCTCGTAATCCTGAGGTTATGGTAGGAGCAAAAGAATTTTAGTACAAGCAATGACAGCCAGTCCCACAACTTCTGAATGTGCCATGTCAGAAGAAAATTGCAAGAGGATATTGCATCCATTAGGATTATATCCTTGAATCATTTGAAGGTTAATACTTTCAAAATAAATAAAAGGTCAAAAGCAGGTTTGCATTTCTCAGGTGAAAGGCTCAGACCATGATCTCAGCCAAAATGGCTTAGAGTTCAATCAAAGGCTCAAAACACAAATTTACAACAGAAAAAAAAAATCATTTTGACTTATCTAATTTTTTTTTAGGAAGAAATTAAATCTGAAAAATATCAGAATGCCAATTTTGCACCCACTTTCCACATGAAGCGTCTTACCTTTTTCAGTTTGAAAGCACCCTTAGGTTTCCACATTTCTTTATAAATCTGAAACTTAGCAAATCTCAAAATATATCATCACGTGTTCTCTTTCAGTATTGAAATCAGGGGAGGGATTGGCTGGGCACTGTCTCAAACCGCAGCTAGTTCTTTCGCAGATTGTGTGAAACAATATTTACATTATTATATTTCTATAATATTAATATTTCTGTTTTTATGTTATTATGCTGTGTACAAGCATAAACAGGCAGTGCTACGTTTATTCCAAGCCTCTGGGCAGTCACACCCCAGCTGCAGTGTGAGCCGAGGCTCCAGGATCCAAGGTGCCAAAGAGCCACCACATCCCAGGCCACGGGACCGGAGCATTAAATTGGAAATACCACTTCAACTGTAAAACATTTGCCTCTCCCCCACGTTACGTTATATATTTGTTTCAGAGAGGTATTGAAATAAATATTTACGCAATCAAAATGGCCACGTGCGCAAACATACTCCCGTGTGGGGTCGTCTCGAGGATGTTCCGACCACGTAAATTTTGGGCTCGTTATCTCCGAGACTACAGCGCTGGCATTGTCCGAACCTAAATTTTTAAACGTGGCCATCACGTGGCTGAAGTTCAAAACTGCATCTTGAAATTCAAGCAGAGGTTTTGTGGGGGCTGAACGAGTGCCCGTGAGGCCTCAGGAGCCGCCGGCTCACCTGCCCACACAGCTCGGCCTCCGCCAAACCTTCCACCAACACCCAAAAACCAAACCAGCTCTGCAGTGGATCCCATCCCACTGCCACCCTCCAGCCCCAGGGGCTGTGGGGAAAGAGTGTAGCGGTGTCTGAAATCTGGCTCTGTCACCACTGACCTTTAGCAGGAGAGAACTTTCCCTCAGATGAGAGAAGCTTTCCCTGAGGTGTCGAGAGAGATGCTTCCCCTCAGGTGAGCAGGAGAGGGGTTTTCCTCCTGACAGGAGAGCAGCTTTCCCTCAGGTAGCAGTACTTTTGCCTCAGATGAGAGGAGAGGATTTTTCCCTTGGGTGACAGGAGAGTAGTTTTCCCTCAGGTGGCAGGACAGGAGTCTTCCCTAAGGTGACAGCAGTTTTCCCTCAGGTGACAGTAGTTTTCCCTCAGGTGACGACATTTTTCCCTCAGGTGGCAGGAGAGAAGCTTTTCCTGAGGTGTCATGAGAGATGCTTTCCCTCAGGTGACAGTAGTTTTCCCTCAGTGCTGAGCTAAGGTGAGATGGGACAGAAATCCCCACTCTTCAGGTTTGATATATATAGATTATATATAGGTTTGATTATAAACTCTTCTGCTTCATCTCCCTCAGCCATCATGCTGAAGAGGAGGGCCGTTTCCTTGCCATCCCACTGATCCAATGGTCCTTGGTCAGAAAATTCCTGAGGGCTTTAATGCTAAAGTGCTGGTCCAGTCTCAGGTCCAGGAGCTCTTTTGAGACCTGGATTGTATTTTACTGCCATGTTGCTGTTTATTTTGTTGTCATTTTTCCCCTTGTTCAGAGCAAAACACATTCACAGAGGAAGGAATCACTCAGGGAGGGACAGAAGATGGGTGTTATTCATGTGATATTCTGTGTGTATCAGCAGATCAAGGGAAAGTACCCTTTTCTGCTTTGATAGATATTTTCTTTTGGTTTTTACATTTTGTGCTGTTGTTGAGAGATGAGTGAACTTCACCTTTTTTCCCTGAGTTTTCTGGAGTTTGGAAAGGGTTAAGGGAGATGCTGCATTCAGTGTATCGTCATCTTGGGCACTGGCTTTTTCCACGTGGCAAATAAAAAGTGATTTAGCATAAACAGCTAAAAAAGGGGAGGAAGGGGCTGCAATGTGAGACATGCAGTCATTGTCAAAGATTTCCTTTGCTAACTGTTACTTTGCAGATTTAGCAGCCAACATTACATGGAAAATGTTGGAGAGGAAGGAAATTATTCCATTCAGTTTCTGCCATTGCTTTTATCTTGGTTCCCTGGGGCTTTATGGGGGCAAATTGTAGTCCAGGCAAGAAGAGCTGGGAGGCTGTGGAGTCTATCTGGCATTAGGCAGTGAAGCTGAGGAAGATATTTTTAGTGAATTTACTCAATACTGTGATCAGTGGTAGTTTATAGCTCAGGTATCAGGCTCTGGGTCCCTGCCCAATGTTGTTTTACTTTCACTCTTACTTATAAACACATCTACATCCAGATAAAAGCTTCTTTGTAAATTTTATTTATTTGGAGGTTTCTGCATGTGATGGAAAAGCTTTAAATGGTAGATGCAGAACTAGCTTTGGATCTAGACAAATTTCGCATTCACCAAAACAAATTTGAGCCAAATTTAGAAGTAGTGCCATATGACGTGCTCTTGGGGAGTGAGAGGTTGGCTGTAGGCCCAGATCTGACAAAGATCTTTTGCACATTTTTATCTTTATACTCTCTGAATAGTCTCACTGATTGTTCTGTCAACCTGAAGTACTAAAACATCAGCAGGCTGGTCTTTAAGTTTTAAAAGATTGATCTGTGAATCAAAGAACTTTTTAAAAAGGTATTTTTTAATTTGCTTTCTGTTTGCTGAGCCTTAAGGAAACATCTGTGTCATGTTTTCCAGTCTTTTTCTTTGCAATGACAGAAACTCCATTTTTTTCCCCAAAATGAATCTGGAGGTTCTCATGCAGATTTATGACTTTCAGAAATGAGATTTTAGGCAGATATCATTGTAAGATTCTTGGTAGGAACTGAGAGAGTTGGCAACACAGACGACACAACAGTGAGCATCGAAGCCCTTGTTTAAAGCTTGCAGAAAGCCTTGGATCACAATTTCTTTGGAGCCAGAGCCTTAATTGTATTGTGGCTGAGCGGTGCACATGCAGTTATGTGTTAGACTGTGTAGCTTCACTCTTCTGCTGCCTTGAGAATCTGCTGCAGTCTTTTCATTGCACCAATTTCAGTCCCTCATGCAGCTGGTCCAAGGAAAGTACTGGTGAATTAAAGATAATTACAGGCCAATGACTGATGCTCTTACCCTATGGAAATCATGGGGAGTGAGTAAGATGGCAAAGATTTTGATTTACCATTGAAGCAAGTGTCTTTTGGAGAAAGCCAGCATAACCACAGCAGCAACAACAACAAAAAATACCATGGAAATTCTCCGGATAACAACCAGAAAATTAAATGTTGTGTAAACGAGGACAACAAAATTGGCGTGTAGCTGGAAACAACAGAGAAGCAAGCATTCAAAGGGTATTATTCATGTATTTTAATTAAAAATTAAAGCAGCTTAGGGGCTGACCTAAAGTGCTGGCAGTGAAATCAAACCAAATCCAAGAATTTTCTTTTTTTTTTAAACGTACACCACTCAGCAGCCCTAGCTGCCATCAGCCAATGCTACTACAAGGTTCTACAAAAAGTGTAATTACACAGTCTCTGTCTTGATTTAGTGTGACAGACAAAGGGTGAGTTTTACACATGGAGAAATACAGCATAAAAAAGCTGAGGTTTTTCTCTGTGAAACAGAAAATATTTCTGGGAGGAGCTGAATACAGATCTCAAGTCTGAAGGGAATATTTTACCTATAAGAGTATTTTTGCTGGTCACTTTTGTGACAATCCACACTGTTACTTTATTATGTAATGGAATATTTTTATTGCAGTTTAATTAAAGGGGTCAGTTAAATACATATTTACCATATATTTTTATCACAATATATCTCTGCCATGTTTTCTGTGTCTAGATGTCCACTGTAATCATCGTAGATTCCCATGGAAGGATGAGACATGGATTGCTACAGGGAAAAGCAATGCTGTATCTGCCCAGGTTGGTGCACATTTGAACACAGGTAGCAAAAGCTGCATGCAGTTTGAGTTGCACAAATTAACATTTATTAAAATAGTTGGGCTATTAAAATCTATTTTCATAGCAGGCAAGTGGACAAAGGGAAATGAAAGCAGCTTTGCTTGGCCTGCAGGACACAGATAAACAGTGAAGCAAAACTCAGCCCAAAATCCCTGTGTCCATGGTCAGGGCTTGCAGACAAAGTTAATGAACTGTCAAAAATATATTGTGATAGCATCTATGTCTTTTCAAACTGCAGAAAATGTGTTTTCCCTTGCAAGATACTATCTTTAACCAACCTTCCTCTAAGCTTAATTGTCTACAGATTGTAATTACTGATCTTCTCAGACTGAGCCTTCCTTAAGTACCTCCTTCTTTTGGAGGGGACTGTGGGCCAAAGTGTTACAGCCTCTTCAAGTGTCCTGTGTTGGTACAACCCTGGCATTGTGTAGGACTGGAAAGGCCCTGGTATAAAAGTGATTCTGCAAAATATTCCTTCCAAAGATCCTGATTTTTTAAAACTTATTCAGGAAAAGGTAACTTCTCCAAAATTCCTTGGGAAGTTTTCTCACGTCTAGACTACTCCAGAAAAAACTTTCAGAATGAAAAATATCTGTGGGCTGCAAGGCTTGTTCCAGGGCTCATCAAACACAAAGACTTCCTTTGACTTTAGGAACACTGTATTAGATTGTTGAAGGCATCAGAAATGACCTTGGAACCGTTTGGGAAAGGTACCTGCTGTGTCAGACAAGTGGCATAGGACTCAAAATTCTAAAAGTTTGACCCAGTAGATTTTTGGCTTCATCAGGTCGCTTGGGAGAGACCCATACCAGGTTCTTTACAGCCATTGAAGAGAAAGCCTAAATCATGTTTTGAAATGCAAGCCATGGCCTCTTGTATAGTCTGCTCTGTGCAGACAGAGCAGTAATAAATGGTTTTTGGGACAGCATATTTAGTTTAATTGCTACTTCACTCAACAAAACCCTGATAAAATCCATAATAAGCAAAGCAACACTCCATAAGCTTTTTAATGGTTGCAATATAAAGGGATTCTCATTCGTCTTGCTGGCATTATTTATAAGAAACCTTCTCCTACATATAGGTTGGGGCTTAATTTCAGCATTTTATGGCCAGTCCTGATTAAACAATGCCCTATATTGTAGCCACTTTATTAAAACAATTGGAATATGATCCTATTGTAATTTTATATAATAATATTCTTGAGAACTACTTTTTTAATGTTACTGTGATGGTGGCAATTGATTTGCAGTTGCTCAGCATTCTGGCACCTGCATACTTAGTGTATATATATATATATATATTTATATGTGTGTGTGTGTATGAGTATTTTTAATGAGGGACTGGATACTTGCCAGATTAAGGACCATGATAAAGGGGATACATTTCAGTCCAATAATATAATCTAGTCAAATATTGTAATCAACTCTTTGCAGACTGTTGGGGTTTTTTGTGTAAAGAGGTGTGATTTTCATTAAGATCTATCTTACATATAAATCACCAAAACAAGTAATTTCTTAGGCTGCAATATCTAGAAGCAACAAGAGCACAGTGAACATTTTCTAAAGTAAAGTATTTCGAAGTTTGATTTTTTTCTTCTCTTACTTAGATACTGCAAATTATATACTTTAATATATAACTTTGACTTTGAAGAAAGCACTTAATACAGAACATGTTATACTTTAAGTTAATATATTAACATTTTTCTCATCCAAAATTGAGGCTGAGTGGGAAAATCATCAGAAAATAAACATTTTTTAAAGAAGATGAAATCTGGTTTAATTTTGTTTTCTGTTTGAATTTAGCTTGAGATTTTGCAATCCTTTTATAAAACTAACATATTGCAGAGGAGGACTGCTATTTTTAATTTAAACTTCATCTCCTTATAAACCACTTTTTTATCGTTACCTCTGAAGTCTGAACTGCATTTCTTCAGATGGTGCTTTCATATATTTGATGGCGTGTAGAAAATATTAGTAAATAATTTAATGTTTATTTTTAACAAGAAATTTCAGAGGCATCTCGTCTGACTTGGTAGACAATCTCAGTGGCATTACCATGCTGCCCTCTGGAGTACACTGACAAAGCACCACATGGTAAAAGTTTTATAGGCATCTGCTCTTCCTCATGGCATCCAAGAAAATTATCACTGGAAAAAGGATACCCTTGGCGAAGCTCTTTGAAAAGCAGGATGAGTATGGAGTGTTTCACTTCACTTAGCCCAGAGTGTTCTGGGCATGTATCATGTTTTCACGGGTTATATGTTACTATGTAGGATTTCATCCCTGGCTAGACCCCAAAGTGTTTGATTAAAATATAAGTGATTATTGCAGGATCACCTCAGTGCTTGTGTTCTAATTCTTCAGTGTAGATTTCAGTGTTTGGTTTAGAATCCCCAGACTGAGGTTTCTCAGCAAAACTGAATTGTGTCATCCAGAGGTGCAAGAGCAGTGTCAGACTGTCTCATTCAACCCAGCTCCTGTGGCTCCTGTGTAACCTAAGGATCAGAAGTCCTGGGATTCTACCAGGAGAAAGTAGGAGGTATCAAAGACAATAATAAAACACATCATTTTTCTTCACAAGCTCAAAAATCCCTGAGACATTTGGAAAACATATGCATCTGTTGTTTCCTAAATTAGTTCATCTTTCTCCAAGATGTGTCTTGTGGAAAAATTAGAAACTCCCCTTCACTCCTCCCTCTTCCCCCTACCCTCCCCAGATTGCTTTAAATCCATATAAGAATGAAAACAAAGGTCAGGCATTTATGTTCTTGCTAAGTTCTGGAAAAAATACCCAAATAAAGCAACAACATCAACAAAAAAAGAGTGAATTTTAGGCTCAGTTTGAATTACTTTAATATCTTTTGAGGAATCTTTTACTTAATGTAGATATTTAATAGAAAGATTGCCAGTTGCAGCTTGTATACAGCTGGAAGTGGGGTTAAAAAACAGCACAAGCAGAAAGTACAAGAAACACCTTCTTTATCCTGCTTCTCCAATACAGATATATATATATATAATGTATATAATTTATGTTCATTTCTGCATCCTTTCTCTGCTTCCACAATAGGAAACAATGCACAAACTAAAAGGAAAGGTTGTTATCTTCGAAAGTGGTCTTGGGGACTTTACAGCACCTGGGAGCAGCTAATTAAACTGCTAGGACTCATTAAATATTTTAAGCACTTTTCCACTGCCAGTCAACAGGAATTAGGTACCTTATTTCTTTAAGTCCCTTTTTAGTGCAACAAAGTGCCTTTCTTTAGGTGCCTAAAGACTTCTGAAAATCTAATTTTCTCAAGTCCAGAGTTCCATATCAGGCAAAAAGAAGATGTAAGCCAAGTGACAGGAAGGGCAGGTCAGATACAGACTGGCAAGTCAGGAACAATTTAGGTCACTGAGAGGAGTCTGCAACACTCACTATGGTGAGAACATTAAACTGCATTTCAGTATAACCAGGTAAAACACCATATATGTGGGAAAAGCTGCCTGTGGAAATTTAGGGATTCTGTAGGGAAACTGCAGAAGTCCCCAAGATGATGGCAGTGTTGGAGACATCAAAGCATTAAGCTGGTAGGGCATGAAGAGAGAGGTAGTAGAGCTGAGATGGACTCCAAATACCATGAAAAACCTGGGTAAGGGGGCATTCCTGGACATTGAGGGAGTTGGATTTGAATTGTCACTGGAGGAGTGGGGGGAGAGAAGGATGACTGGACACACAGCTGGTTTTTTCCAAAGAATATCACCCCCTCTTACAAACGTTAAATTAAATAGTTCATTACTTCACAGCCATATTGCATAAGCAGCAGTGTAACTACAGGTGCTTCAAATGTGGAATCAGAAGTGTCCTGAACACTGCAGCTGTTCGCTTTGGGATTGGATCTTCGCTGCCCGAATTTTCCTTGGATAGCAGCTCAGCTGGGAAATGAGTGATGATCTGGTTTTGATGATTGATTGGTGATGGAAAAGGAAGGGAAGTAAGCTCGGGTGTCCTGCTGTTTAAATCCTAAGTAGACAGTACAGCCTCCTTTATGCTGTAGTTTGTCCTAGTAAAAACTCACTCTGACTTTTTAGAAGGCTTAAGATTCTAACTCCCTCTGGCCATTTTAGAAATACCACCTTCCATTAATAATCACTAATGGGAGAAAGTTTAATATTACTAAATAATTGTTTGGGGAATATATTCCCCATACAAGTGAGGACTTTTTTTGTGTGTGTATGACCTGTATAGTGAAAAAACCCCACACTATTAGTATGTCTTAACTTTTTCTTTTTTTTTTTTTTTTTTTTTTTTTTTGAGAAAAGATGGCATCAGCAAATAAATCCACAATATCCTGGTAAATATTTTTAAAGAGGATCCAAAAACAGATCAGAGCACAAAAGTAGCTTTACTAACAGCTTCTACTAAGATTAAATATATATAAATATATGTATATATCTCCCAAGACAAAATACACAGCTTCATATAATCTGCTAAAGAGAAAAGTAAATATTTTGCAACCACAAATGAAGTCAAAGCATAACATTGTGGTGAGACTTAAGAGGAGTTAACAGACCAAAATGTCTCATTATTTCACAAATTATAGCAGCATGAAAAAATACTCCTTTAGTTTCAGGATACTTAGCTCTGTTTCATGAAATAAAAATATGTGGTTAAAACAAAGCAGCGTTTCAAGCCCAGCTCGGGGATCTGGCTGAGCTCAGTGTGGTCGGTGGGTCGGCGTGAGTGGCACCCAGGCCACACTTCAGGGATGACAAATGTGCTGCTTTCACACTCCCTGGCACGTGGACAGAGCTCCATGCACACGATCCTGAGCCCAAATGGAGGAGCAGGACCTTCTTGGTGACACAGTTAAAGGCTTTTGGTTCCTTTAGCTGAGGGTGTGGACTAAAGCATTAAGGGCAGAATTGCCTTTGGTGGCCCTGACCTGGTTTGTAGTGGGTGCCCAGAGCCAAGTCCTGCCC